AGAAAGTTGCACTGTGGTAAGTCGAACACTCCAATTAAAAATAATGCAGACGTAGTGCGCACTAATGCAGTAAGTCGAAAACGCTATTAGGCTTAAAGAATCCTGAAAGTTATACGGGTCATTGCAAGCGAAGAACTTCTGCTACGTTACTAGCGGATGCCGGTGCTAGCATGACTACACTAAAGACACATGGGGGATGGAAGAGCACAACTGTAGTAGAAGGGTATATTGAAGAAGAAGTTTAACAAGCAAGAACAAGGTACCTAAGCTAATTGCGGGAGAATCGCTAAATATTATTACAGCGTCAAATCATCTGACAAATACTAATTCACCAGTAAGTTGAAACGGAGGCAATGCTATCTTTTCGGGATCTTTCAGTAATTGCACCTTTAATATTAATGAAAAAAAATAAATACTGCTATTTTTCAGTACGCATTTATGAAATGTTAATAAAGTTTGTTCCATTGTTGCGTTTTTCTTTAAGAAGTGACATGTATTTTATCTGTAAGGAATCTTTCGCACGGAGAGCCCTACGGCTCGCACTTGTGACAGTTAGTAGGTATTGAAATTTAATAATTGACGTTTCTGTTTTGTCATTAAGTATAACTAAGTTACTATGGTGATACTTAATGCTCTAGCTAGGGCATAAAGTGGTACTTTATTAGTAAAGCGGACTTTACACGATCCAAGTTCTTCACGTAATTCTACGCGTTTCTCTTCATGTATTAATACACGTAATGATTGCAGTTTTACATTATGGAACTGTACGTGTATTTATATATGTAGAACATAAAATGTTTTGTGCCAAAATAGTGGCAGCACTTTATTTACCAATCTCAAGTTCAGATGAGTAAACACATCAAATTTCTCGTACAGGTTTATTTTATTGTATTCATTATGGAAACTGATTTGGGTGTTCTGGCTGTAACGATTTTGAATGGTATGGCAATGGTTAAGTTAAAATCCAAACGAAAAAGATCTAGAAAATGTTGGGTAAAAGGATGGGTGGATAGGAGAGGAGAGCGCGGTATTATGCAATTGGTGAACAAGGAATTGAGCTTCGAGGATCCAGAAGCATTTAGAAACTACATTAGAATGTCAAAGGAAAGTTTTATGAAATTTTTGCAAAAATTAGAGCCCCAAATTGCGAAAATTAATACGAACATGAGAGAAAGTATTTGCAGCCGGGATAAATTAATGACAACGCTTCGTTTTTGGCTACAGGCGAATCCTACAGAAACCTAATGTATTCGACAAGGATACATGAATCGACAATATCTTTGTTTATTCCGGAAGTGTGCAAAGCAATCTACCTTATGCTGAAAGATGAATATCTTCAAGTAAGTAAGTGATTAATAACTGAGTAGGTAATTATTTAGGTATATACTTCTACATGCAGGTTCCACAAGCAACAGAGGATTGGGAAAGCATAGCAAATGATTTTTTGAGTGATTGGCAAATACCGAATGTAATAGGTGCATTAGATGGGAAGCACATAGCCTTTCGGTCCCCAAGAAGTGCAGGATCAATGTATTACAATTACAAAGGGTTTAACAGCATTGTATTGTTAGCACTGGTTGATGCAAAGTACCGCTTTATTTACATTGATGTTGAGTAAATGGTCGTATAAGTGATGGTGGGATATTTGCTCAGAGTAATTTGTACAAACGTCTTGAGAACAACACCTTACATATTCCACCTGATAAACCATTGCCTGGGCAAACCAAACCAATGCCACACATAATAGTCGCTGATGCTGCATTTCCATTAAAGCCATACATAATGAAACCTTACCCCTTCAGAGGGCTAACCTAACTCATAATCAAGCCATTTTTAATTACAGACTTAGTAGAGGCAGAAGAGTAGTTGAGAATGCATTTGGTATTCTAGCAAACAGATTTCGTCTCTTTTTAACTACTATAAATTTGAATGCAGAAAAAGTTAAAATACTGACACTAGCTGCCTGCACACTGCATAATTTTTTGCTTGCTGAAGGTGGTTTAAATAATGGACAGGAGATCAAAAGTATGCAACAATGATTAGGTAGACAAAGTGGAAATCATTCATCGACACGTGCGAACACCGTGCGGGACAAATTTTTACGCTATTTTGTCGGATCAGGTGCAGTAGAGTGGCAAGAAGCTATGATATAGATTGGTTAAATATAGGTAATCTAATTACAATATAAGCATAGGAATTAATATTGTCTTTAATATAGTTTGTAATTATAAATGCAACATAAATGATTCAATATATTTATTCATATTCTTGAGCTTGAGTTTCAAAAATTAATTGTGAAATTTCCTTCTTTAATCGAAGTACAGTTTTAGTGCTCTTTATTTGCCTCAACTCGTTTTCCATGCAAGTGGCAAAAGTTGTAATGTGATCATTAATTTTATTGTTCGTAACTAAGTGTTTCAACACTGCTGTGGATTCCTTAAAAAATTCATTTTCTGAATCAACTTTTTTCTTCTTTTTTGGCGGATTCTCCTGTAAATATATGATTACTTGATAGAAGTAAGTCACAAGTTATTAACTATACTTTATCATTATTTCGGATATCACGTACAGGCGAGTGAATCACCTTATGTTGTATTGGTTGCGAAGTGGATGAATAGGATCGGGCAGAAAAATTGCTGTATTCGCTTTCATTAAATTCGTCTATGCTTCCTTCAAACACGATTTCGTCTTGTTTATCAGTCTCTGAAATTTCATTAGCAGATTCCTATAATTATAATTAATAATGTCATTTACTTTAAAATAAGTACCCATCTCGATTTCTACATTCGAAGACAAGTTTGAGTATCCTGCAGTTGTTGGAGCAGACGTTGATAAAAACTGTAGTAAATCGAAACACCACCAAGATGATTCGTACACATCATCTGTACCAATACCTGATTGCTTTGATTTTTGTATCTTTTTTAATTCTACATTAAAAGTTGTTCGAAGTCCATTTATTTTTTTTAAGACAACATCAACATCGTAAAAGCTTTTTTTTATATCTGTCGATGTTATTAAGTTCAGAGTATGACTAACACATCGTTGGTGTGATGGTAAATATATATTACTAATGATTGAATGGACATCACAATCAATAGGTTGGATAACATCACTAATAGAAACTAGAAATGTTTCATCCTGCTCTTCATGTTCGTCACTTTCATAACCTACAAAAATTATTATTATAGTTTACATATTACATAAATAATAGTGATTTGACCAATTTCTATCACATTTTTTAGTGAATCATCTTGCAGCAGTTGTTGTAAACTGTTTTCTTCATATGTTCCTGATCGCGTACCGACATCTTTCACATGCTTATGCGATTCTTCAAACGCCTTAACCATATTTGCGCCATTGTCCGTAACTGTCTTAACTATAGTTGTGGAACTTCGATCAACAAATTCGTCATGTACGTCACTGATGATAGTTGCCACTTTATCATATGTATGAGCACCTTTAAATCTTCTGCATGCAAGTGCTGCACTTTCTCTGCCAAATTCATTATTAATCTAAAAGAATGCAACATTATAAAAGTTCATAAATTTTATCAAAATTAAAATTAATACCCAATGAGCTGTTACACCCATATAACTCCTTCTAGAAGAAGACCACACATCTGCAGTAGTGCATACAAAACGAACACCTTTCAATTTTTCCCTTATTCCAGTAACAATATGGGTGTAATCATTGTCAATTTTTTTGGATAGCGTTTTTCTGGTTATAACATTTACAGGTCCTTTTAGTTTATTTACTCCTTTAGAAAAAAAATGGTGTTTATTTTACAAAATATTTGCCGTGGACAACACTCGCCACGAATCATATGTTCACAAAAGCAGTGTTCTCTACAATAGACAGAGGACTCAATGTCTGAACGATGAAGTTCGAAATCAATGAATCTGTCTCCTGTTGGTCATTACGAGCACAATGAGCTGTGAGGGATGTTTGTCGAAGTTTTTTGCTTGGATCTGTTTTTGTTGCATCCATCTTTCGTTTTGTGGGATGTACAAAGCGGCTCTGTTTGTATTCTTCATAACTTTCTAAGGAATGATTTCTCGTCTGTAGATTAAGCAACTGATTAAAAATATGAGTACACATTACCGATTACTTACCTTTAAATAGTATCGAAAGTTTGTAGTAGCATTGATTTGCCCTTTAATAAGTTTATTGCATTTGGAGCATTTTGCTCTAACCCCCGTTTCATTTTCAATATGTATTATTTTAAAAAACTTTCCATCTAATATCAACGGTAATGGCGTACGGTCGTTACTACTAGAGCCCTGGTCATTAGTTTCTTTTTCCTCTGCAGATATCTTATCCTCCTGACCACTGGACATGTTGATTTGTACACAGATTATGTGTATTTTTAAACCACTAATTAACTAAGAAATATAGTCAAAGTAAACGTATAATACTTGAATTTGAAGGAAATTTCTAAATTTTTTTATATACCGTTAAAAAAACGCGTGCGTAAACCACAGAAATCACGTAAACAAGCAAGGAAGCGTTTAGATGCACTTCTTTACCACAGATCACCATTTTTAGATTCTTTCCACAGATCACATTTGCAGGTAAACCAGAAAAACTTTGAATCGAATCTATACTACTGTGGGGGTTATGTTTCCACTTTTTACGCGCGCATTCCAATACACGAAAGGAAAGTTCAGGTTTACTTCTTCAAGAACCGCAGGCACAAACAAAACTAATTTTATTTAATACTGGTACAAAAATATTGAAGAACAAGAAAACGTGTACATACAAAAATGCCTCGCACGGAATTAGTCAAAACGCAAGTCGGCAAGCATTGCCAGGAAGTGGCTCTATATGCTGCCATCTATCTGCCCATGTAGGATATCCCTACACTACGTTATTTTAAATAGAAAATAGTTATACTGATTTATTTAAAATAGAACATAGAAAATGACTTTATCTACAGTATTTAAAATACAAAATATAAAATGGCATTTTCTATTTTAAATACGTATTTCAAATAAATTCATTCGAAATAGGTACCCACCTCTGATCACTACATCTTTTAAACTATTTATGCTGGGGTTATGTGTTTATAAAGGCCGCTTTACATACTGCAATTCTTCATGCAAGACCATGCAATACGCAATAAAACCTGCCCAGAAGCATGCGCGTTTGAGAAACAGCTGATTCATTTTGGCAATTCACTTGCAATTGCAGGTTAGCGGTCGCGCGCGATTTTTATTGCACTTGCACGTGATATTTTGGGGGAAAGTATTGACAACGCCAGGTTCTAGAATTCCCAAACGTTGAAACTAGACTTTGTTATTATTGTTTTTCGGTTAATTGGAGGTTAAAAATGAGTTGCAAAAGGTAAGTTTTGTATTAATAACAGTAGATAAGGGGCCACCTATGCGAGACCCTTTAACGGCCCTTTTAAAGCAAAGTACTCAATTTGTTTAAAAACAAACTAACTTTAAAAGTTCCCTTAAATGCTTTTTACTATAAAGTACTTAAATTAACCTTTTTAGTGGCGGTTTTGATTGGCCTAGGGAGGCAACCACGTTCCTTATTTCGTTGTACGAAAGTTATTCGTGCCTCTACTTGCCTACTCTACCAGAGTACCACAATCGCAATGTGAGGTTAAAAGCGTTGCAGGAAATTACAACCGAATTCAATGATAAAAAGTTAACGGCGCTGAAGACTGAGGATATAAAAAAGAAGATACATGGTATTAGAACACAATTTATGACTGAATTATCCAAAATTAAAAAAAGTGAGGTATCGGGAGCATCGGTAGATGATGTTTATATACCGAATCTGTGGTGTTTTGAGCAGCTGCACTTCTTGCAGCAAGGAACAGCTGTAATAGCCAAATGAGAGTCAAATATGTCTCAAAAAAGCACAGAGAACACGCAACAGGAACAAAATGTAAGTTTACTGCAAGTAGATATAGTCTCATCAACGGGGTTATTAGTTTTATTCTTGTAATGTTAAATTCATATGTGTATTTATCCTCTTTAACAAGTTCCCTCGTTAAATATATCATATGGCGTTACCGTAACATTTTTGGATGAATGCTTGTAAGTTGGGAGGCTTATCGTTTCATAGCGAACAATTAATTAATTAATTGCATGTTTTGTTCTTTTGTTTAGGAAGACGTCGAATGTGTGTATGATGGTGATGTTGCTGGTGTAAGCGAGTTAGACCTAGAAGTTTTCTCTCCAACATCGATTGAATCAACATCTAGGTCTAGAACTCCGTCCAGAGGAGAAAGCCGCACCCCCTTGACGATTGAAGGACGAATCGGAACAAAAAGAAAGAGACACAGAGAAACAGGAGACAAAGAGAGGGATAATAAAGGTATAACGGAAACCAAAACCCTTCTCAACACTGCAGTTAATGCTATGCAGGAACTTGTTGGGCCTGGAGTGCAGGAGCTTCGGCAGTCAAAAAAACATACTGTTTTTGGATAGTAAGTTACTTTGATGAAATTTTATTACTGTTGCTGCCATAAACATGAAACAAGTCAATTTCTATCTATCCATATCTTTAAATATACAAATCATTATAATTAATTTTTTTTACAGATTTATTGCGGATGAAATGGAAAGCCTTAAAGATCAGGACATAATAGATCACTTGAAGCAAAACATTTTGCACAGTATCTTTGCTGCAAAAAGGCAAGATCGGGCACAACTGCTATGATATATAATTTAGTTTATTATAATGAAAACTTTTCATGTATAGTTTTGGGAACATGAGACATTATATTTTTTTACAAAACAAACAGGTGATTGAATATTACATGTAGGTAACTTTTTAAACCATTTCATTTTGTCAAGGTACTTGTCCACATCCATTAAAGTAGTCTTTGAACTCCTCTCTAATGGCCATTGCTTCATTTCTAGGTCTACCATAAACAAACTTGTAATTTTTGTTAATTTCAATGTCTGGCTTGTTTCCTAAATATGAATTCCCTGATTCTTTATGTAGAAAATTATGAAGCGCATAGCATGCTTGAGTAACTAGTTTTGCTTTTTCAGGCTGTAAAGGTATCGTATTTAACAATACTCGAAAGCGATTTGCTACAATTCCAAAAGCATTTTCAACCACACGTCGAGCCCTGCTCAACCTGTAGTTAAAAATTCGTTGCTCTCTGGTTAAATTACGAAAGGGGTAAGGTTTTAGAATATGGTTGGAGAGAGAAAGCGCTGCATCTGCTACTATGACATGAGGTACAGGCTTTGTTCTTCCTGGCAGGGGTTTATTTTCAGGAAAATTAAGGCTGTTGTGTACAATGGCTTTAAAGAGATCGCTTTCTAAAAAAACTCCCCCATCAGAAAGTCTTCCATTCATCCCAACATTTATATATGTGAAATTATATTTCGCGTCCACAAGAGCCAATAACACTATACTGTGTTGCTTTTTGTAGTTGTAAAATGCTGAACCTTGGTTTTTGGGAGCTTTAATAACAATATGCTTTCCATCAAGAGCCCCAATAACATTTGGCGCATCCCATAAGGTTTCAAATTCTCTAGAAAGCTCTAGCCATTCGGCGGCTGTTGATGGAACCTAAAGAGATAATAACAAATAATATGCACATAAACACTAAATAAAGTATACCTTCAAATATTCATTTTTCAGTACCTCATACCAAAAAAGAGTAAGTAATTACTGATAAGAGATTTAAATATTGTTTTAATTATTTACAGAATTCGTGCAAGTGAATTTTTACAGGCTGCGGAAGAAATAGTTAGGCTTTTCCCTCAAGAAGAAATAGGAACATACTACACACCTTACAGTGCGCCAAAGCAAGGTTTACGTAGGCAACCTGCACGAGGAATGTTATACTCTCGTTATGTTAATGTGAAAGCCGCTTTACGATTGGTATGCAGTGAAAAAAGACTTTCATGTGACAGTGAAGTAGAAATTGCAACTACTAGCAGCGCCAGCGATGACGATGATTTAAATTTTATTTCTAAAAATGTTGAACCTATATCCAAGGTATTTTCCTTATGGGAGCAGTCTTTTCCAAAACGAGCAAAGTACTTAAAGGAACCGTTAGACACAGTTTTTGAAAAATTTCCTGCATTAAAATGTCAGTACGGTTTAGAATTGGTTAGTAACTGAAGTTGTAACTAATTAAAAATTAAATTATTTGTTATTAGATTGAAGCAGATTTCAATCGAATGTATCCTGATAAAACCAGGGCCGGATTTATAACGGTGGGGCCCGTGGGCGGATATACTGTGGGGCCCCCTTTTTCCATTTTATTTACTATTTCTTTAAATGCAATTAGTAAAGTAAATTATGATTATGCTCATTTTTTGTAAATAAATAGGCACATCTTATTTCTTAAACGAATTTTTATTTAAAACTATATTAGACCAGGCACCTTTCGAGATTTTTGCAATGCAAATGATGCAAGCACATCATCGAATTTTAAACCTCTTAATATGTCATATTCCATACTCATTATTGCTAGGCTATTTAAACGTTCTTGAGTCATTGAAGTACGAAGTCTGTTTTTTATAATTTTAAGATCTGAAAATGACCTTTCTCCTGTACAGTTGGTGACCATCAGTACAAGATATATTCGCAAAGCTATCTCTACATTTGGAAAAGCTACCTTCAAGTCATTTTCTATTAATATTTTATACATCAAGTGTTCGTTGCTAAGTTCGGAGTCAGGTTTGCACTTAACACTGGTGTCGTCTTTAAAGTTTTTAAAAAATTCTGCAAATTGCACTAATTCAATACCTAAATTCCCTTCCAGATCGTCACTGTAAGTATTCACAAGATTTGTTGCATTATTTTCTAGGTCCTCTCGGCTTAGATCTTCTATGTGGCGTAGAAAAGCAAATCGAGAACAAATTGTTTCATACGCAGTGAGCCTTTGAGTTAAACCAGATGTAAATTGATCTATAACGGGGATGTAGTTTTCAATTTTGAATTTCTCGGAAGGCGAAAGTTCAACTTCAGGTGTTAGTCCGTAATCTAATGGAATTAGGCGCACGTTGCGTTTTCGTTGTCTGTGATGGCCATAATCTGCTGTACCGGATTTCTCCGCACCAAGAACTTCATATGTAGAAAATTTGTCTCGCATCATAGAAACATACTGTTTTAAAGACTTTAAGGCAGCTACGGCAGAGTTAAGATCGAGCTTAGATTGCTGAAGTAGTTGGCTAGTAGCATTGGTTCGGTCTAATATTTCACACCAAAATACTGCATATATTCCCGTTTCTAACATACACATTCGATTGAATAATCCATTTGCATCACAGCGGCTCTTAGGCGTCAGTTCTGCATCATCCGTAATTTGTGTTAAAGCGTTTTTAATCTGATCGTAACCTTTAACTAAAGCTTCGCATGCATCAGATCTGCACGCCCATCGAGTGGTAGTTACACGTTTAGGTATAATTATTCGAGAATGACGCGATTCGGTTTTCTCACCAAAACCATCCGATACTGATTTCAAAGAATCGACAAGAATGTTGTATCTGTGAGTTGAACCAGTAAAGAAAACATACAGCTCTTCTAAAAAATCAAAAAATCCTACAGCAGCAGGACAACATTCAGCGGCGGCCTTTGCAACCAAATTCAAAGAATGGGCTGCACAAGGGACCCAAGTAGCTAATTTGTTTTCTTGCATAACTTTTGCCTGGAGACCGTTGTATTTTCCACTCATAGATGACGCATTGTCATATGACTGTCCTCGGCAGTTTCTTATATCAAGACCATGAGTATTTAAAAATTGCATTAAACCATCAAACATGTCTTGTGCTTTATGACCTTGGTTTGGCATAAAATACAAAAACCTTTCGACGGGTGTGCATCCTTCTATATAACGAAATGTTACGGTCAGTTGGTCGACGTGGCCTTCGTCCGGTGTAGAGTCCAGTGAAATAGAGTAATATTTTGATTTTTTAATTCGGAAAATTATTTCATCAAGAACACTTTTTCCCATGAGTTGGACTACTTCCTCACAAATAGTTGACGAAAGATAATTGGTATGACCACTCCCACGATTTGCATGGGTTTTAAGATGTTGTTGAAGAAAGTCATCATATTGTGCTATTAGCTCTACCAATCCTAGATAATTTCCGTTATTGCGCGAACCAATCAATTCGTTATCACCACGAAGCGCTAGTCCACGTTCACAGATAAACTTGATAACACTAACAAGTCTCTTCAACAAATTTTGCCAATAGTTTTTAATGTTATTTGCTTCCCTTGCAAGTTCAGCATCAATACGACCCATCTCTTTAGAACGCTGCACTAGTGCTATAGTAGCATTTAGGTGTGGTTTAGATATTTCGTGCGCCACTAGCCTACTACTAGCATGTTTCCAATCGCAATATCCATCGCGGCTAAACTGAGTATCTGCCGAAGACAACAATTTACATGCAAAGCAGTATACTCGCCCATTGGATGGCGAAAAACACAACCAAGAACGTTCAATCATTTCACCGTTATGGCTTCTTCGTTTAAACATGCTCAGTTGACAACGTCTTGCATTCACATTCGCACCCGACCCCACGATTTGTTTAAATGATTTTTCTTTGAATATTTCATCATTACAATTTTGGAGAGCAGAAGTTCCTACCTTCGACCAGTAATCGATCAAATGTGATACGTTTGTTGGCCATAAACCAATGTCATTTACATATTCATTACATATAATTTCATTTCTCACACTGTCGTCATCGTCATCTACGCTCACATTTAGAACAGAAGGTGGTTGCAATTGTTCTATTTCTACATTTCCCTTACCCTTTTCAATTAATTCAATCTCTTCATCTGGCTTCATTTGCGATGTAATGAGTTCACTATTCTCATGTTCTTGGATATGCTGATGCTGCTGAGATGTACTAGGATGTGATAAACGTAAGAAATTTGTAATCCGAGGTATCTTGGCAATCAAATCTGCTTTGCTTTTTTCTTTTATTTCGGCTAGCTTACGTTTTTCCGCGCCGCTTTTGTATGTCCGTTTTCCTTTGTGGCGATCGCCTTGTTCCATTTTGCCCAACAAAACTCAAAAGCGTGTAAAATCCTAAAAACAAAAATTATCTAATACATATTTTAGGTAAGATCATTGAATTACCGTTTTTTATTGAATGGTAAGATGATAAATGATAGGATATTTGCCGATTTGGAACGTGTACGTGACTACGTGTGTAACTGTTTAGTGTTTACATCAAGCAAATTCACGACTACACTAGTACACCTACACAATTTTAATTTATATCGAATTCTAATATCTATCAAGTAAAGTTAAAGTGGCACTGACCACTGCAGAGTGCAGACTTGAGACTTTGATACTGACACGACACACGACTAGACTAAACAAATATCATATTACACCAACACCAAGCCAAGTAAGTAAGTAGCGGAAGGGGAAGGCCGAAGGTGGAGGCGCCGAGCGGCAGGAGCGGCTTCGGGCTTTCTTTATTATTGTAGTTTTGTTTGTCATCTTATTTTCCGATCCCGATGTGTCTACATTTACAAAATTAACAATTTATTTTATAAACCTAAGCATACATTGCAAATTTCCTATTACTTCTCTCATTTAGTTCATTAGTTGAGTATGGACTTATGGAGAGTTATAAAAAGCATTAACTACTTGGTTTGCTGTAATAAAATAATTGTAGGTACACGTACATGGTTGATGGTAAAGCGTATGTGGGGGCCCTCAGTATGTGGGGGCCCGTGGGCAGCCGCCCACTTCGCCCCCCTTTAAATCCGGCCCTGGATAAAACCGACATAATATCAACAACATGGCCTCAAGTGCGCAATGCAGTTGCTACTGAATTCAAAGAGAGAAGAGTTTCAGTGATACAATTTAATGGTAATACGAAGGGAGTTATATGATAATAATAAATTTTGTAACTTTAGATCAAGATTGTGAAGTGTTGTTATGCTTGAGTACCCTATTTTCACCAACAACAGTTAAGAAAGGAAGTACAGGTAGTTACCGTCCCACAAGGGTGGAGGTGCAAGAAAGTTTTTTTTTTCATGTAGAGGTGAGCAAATTCATCTTCTTTATTTATATTTGTGATTTTATGATTCGTTTCAATTTTAGAACTTTGGAGAATTGGAACAAAAAATTGAACACATTCGTAGCAAGCTAGAAAAATACAAGCTTCCATTTCAACCAGTTGGTGTGGTGGTTGGTGCCGTGGGTTCAAAACAGTTTGAATATTATATTGTTCTAAACGAAGTACAGTACAAGGTTGATGGTGGCCCTGTTCGGTGTCTTGAACTACTTTATAAAATATATCACGGAATGAATTTAGAATATCCTGTGGAAAGTAAACAGGTATGGGAATTTCTTCAAGAAATGGTGTTCAAAACAAAATTGACCACAAAATCTAGTGGTACTTCCTCTGTAATCACAGACATTACTTACCATTTATCAAAGTCTGATAATTAGTTTTAAAATCAAAGAAAAAGATTGCTTTTTATTTGCATATTCGTACATATCGTCGTTTTGTTTAAAACCATTATTTGCCACAAATCATGCTTTTCTGTTGTCACTGTAATAAAAAATTTTCAAATCTGAAAAGTCTTATTTTGCATTTAAAGGTTTTTCATAACTGTAATGAAAGTAGTCATTATAGCTGCGGTAATTGCAGTAGAAATTATTCTAACTTAAATTCATTTAAAAAACACGTTACAAGAGAACACTTATATTCAACCAAACTACCAACTTTAGCACGAAAAGTGTCCTCAAACGTGACTGCAACATGTTCAGATGATAATACCACTGAAAATATATGCGAACTAAATAATAAGCAAGATGAAAAAGTGGAAGTTGATAGTTTTGTTATATTCCAGGAAAAATTAAATCAAAACATGCTACGATTTTTATCTCAATTTTATGCAGATTCTACATTTTCACGCAAAGATGTTCAAGTTATTGTTAAAAGCATATCTAATTTATTATTAGAACCATTAAACGTACTTAAATGTCATTTGAATACATTTGAAATTATAGGCTCCAGTCTTGATAAGTATTTTATTCACAATCGGTTAGTAATAAGAGTCATTCGTCTCATTAAAGAAGTTTGAAAGTCGGCCGTAACTAGATTATATTTATTACGAACTTCGAAAGTATGAACTTCCGCGCTAAGGAAAGGAAGTAATAGCTACGAATATCAGTCACAGATGGCGCACAAGATGAGATGGAGTTTTGAATTCCTGTTGCACAGTGACTCTCTCAGTGACCTCGGCCTGCGCAACCGTAAACACGCTAGAATTTAAATTTGCGTTAAACTGTTTAAATTTGCGTTAAACTGTTTAAGGGTAAGGGGTAAATCTACGAGTAAAAAATATACTCGTAATGGTAATATCATTGTTCCTTCATAGATATTATAAACAAAACAAACGCTTGCACCTGCACGTTGGCGCGTTAAAGCGAATTCAAATTCAAGCGCTTGCGGTTGCGCGCTGCTGAGGGAGTCACGGTATAGCAGAGATGCATGTCTAATTGGCTGTTGGTTTCGAGTTGGTTTGATCTAAAGTTGTAATCACAGATGGTTGTAATTCGTTAACCTCAAAATAACATTATCTTGGTAAGTTCATTATTGGGTTAATAAAGTAAAACCGATCAAATTTACAGAAACGGGCGTACCAATGCAGAAAAAATAACGGTTCTATTAACGAAAAGATACAAATTCAAGAACTACAATTGTTGAAATTAATGGTTACATTGGACTGACCGCTGTTGTTTATAGTTACAATCAGGCCTTGCTTGGTTTGCTCTGTAGAAAAGTTGATTTCTTGAGTAGTAGACCCAACAGGAAAGGTTATTCGGGAGCAACTTGGAACGGAAGCATTAGATTGTTCATCTCCCGTGACACTTGTGGATGATGACAAAATTTGCGCTATTCTCTCTTGGCCATGAAGAGACTGGTCAACATAACCACCCGCAACCGATGCAGATTTCCACCCTCCCAATTGCTTTAATTGAAGGGTGTCTCCACCGGCATTTGCTAACAGAGTTGCCGCTGTTCGACGGAAACAATGCCCCGTAAATTTATCTACGTCCTTCAATTTGAGAAATGATGCAATTTTTTTAGGGTATTGAGCAATTGTGGAATGACCAATTGGTTGTTTTGTAATTTTCCCAAAACGCATTTGTAGAAGAAATCTCTCATTGTCAATATTGTTACGCAGGTCAACATACTGCTTTAAGAAACCTATCCATTTAGCATCGGTCACCACAAACGATCTACTATTATAGGTTTTCGTGTCGGGTATAATAAAGTTGACACGATGTCCCAAAAAATCTACATCGGACAGCTTCATTTTTATGAGCTCATCCGTTCTGCAGGCGCCTGATATGCCAATTATTAGAACAACCTAGTACCTACAAATAAACACAAAGTTAGTACTCTAATGAAAGTGGCTTTGTATGAACTTGTATCACTACAAAGCATAATTTAATAAAATGTTTACGTCTTTGTCAAATACGATTGTCGTTTTATTTAATAGCTACTTACTTTCTGTGGTAAATAATAATCAAAAGGTGCTTCATTCAAAAATCGCTCTATTTGATCCTTGCTGAAAACCTCCGACTTCTTTGGCTTGTATCCAACGTTTTGCTTCTTAATGAAGGCGATCAGATTATAAAATTTGGTGATGTCCACGCTCTTATTTAAATTTAAAGTTGAGCGTAGCATTGAATACGTAGCCCATAGTGTTGACGGTTTTTTAACCTTTATTAATTCGTTAAAGTATGTCAATAACGAACTTTCAGAACCTATTGGGGTACGTTTCTCTAAACACCTGGCCTTGTACAAATTGTAAGTTTGTTCGTATCGTTTTTTACTTTTATCTGGCAGTATACGTTTTGAAACTGTCTCTGCAACTTCTCGTAACTCAGGGGGAGTACATATAATCTCTTCTGAATCAGACATTTTCAATTTTGAATTCAAATTTTCGTAAAAGTACGGCCGCGTAAAATGTAACTGACGGATGTTTGACAGTTGTACCAACTGTGTGACATTTTTCCACTAACAAAATGAGAAGAAAATGCAAAATTTAAACAATTTATTTAACATTTTTGTAATTTCTTACGATTGTGAATAAAGTCATATACGAACCTCGGCGAAAGCTTATTTTTCTCAGAATAAAACCACCATCGGCGCTGCGCGCCTCAGGTGGTTAACATTCTTCGAAAAATAAGCTACTTTCGCGCTCGGTGCGTAATGTACTATTAATGAGTTAGAATCTTTTTTACTTAAATTTCAAAGTGAATACTGTAATTTTAAATATTTACAGGAAGTAGGCAATCTTGTATTGCCTGTTGAACATGTTATTGGGTATGGTTTAGACAAAGTCTCTAAGAATGGAACAGTCCTGCCCCAAAAATATGTTTATCAACGTATACCACTTGGATCAACTTTTAAAATGCTCTTTCAGTTACCTAACGTTTTACAAGAAACTTTAAAAAATATAAAGCTTATACACTCTCAAAATAAAGTTTGTAATGTTATTCAAACTGATTTTTGGAAAACAAAAATTAGAAGTGAATACAAATCATCTGATATAGTTTTACCAATTTGTATATATTATGATGAATACGAAACTGGAAATCCCTTGGGATCCCACAGTGGAATACATAAGTTAGGTGCTGTATATTCTTCTGTACTTGTACTTCCAGATGAATTTCAGTCACAGTTAGAAAATATTTTTTTGGTATTATTATTTCATAGTTCTGATTTAAAACGATATGGTACTAAAATGATATTTTCAAATTTGCGAGACGATTTGAAAATGTTATCTACTAAAGGTATAACAGTCAACATATTGGAACAAGAGTTTCAAATATACTTCCTTGTCGCTTCGTTTTTAGGGGATAATTTAGGAATACACACTTTATTAGGGTTCACTGAAAGTTTTAGAGCGTCATACTATTGTAGATTTTGCAAAAGTTCTAGAGATGAAGCTTCAACAATGGTTGTTCATAACGACATTACTCTTCGTAACAAAGATAACTACGCAAAGGATTTGTTAATTGACAACATATCTTCAACTGGTATCAAAGAAAATTGTATCTGGAACACGTTAAAAGCATATCATGTCACAGAAAATTTTGGAGTAGATTTAAGTCATGATATCTTTGAGGGTATTGCGGCCTTTGATATGGCAGAGATACTTTATCAATATATTGTGGTGCAAAAGCTGTTTTCTATAAGCGTTTTAAATTCAAGAGTTAAATATTTTAATTATGGTGTTCAGAATGTTAATAAACCCCCTCTTTTTACTTTAGCTAACGTAAAAAATAAAAAAATGAAAATGTCATGTGCTGAAATGAAATGTTTTGTGTTATATTTTGGGCTCATGATTGGAGACTTAATTCCTGTGGAAAATAGTGTCTGGAATGTATACATGCTACTTAGGGATGTGTTGGACATTGTGCTACGTCGATCAATTACTTCAGACGATTGTGAAAAACTTACAAAGTTAATAAAAGAACATCATACATTATATATGGAGTTATTTTCATTAGTATTAAAACCTAAACATCATATATTGACTCATTACCCATATGTCATCAGCAAAGTGGGACCAGTGCATTATTTTAATTCTTTAAAATACGAGTCAAAGCACCGGGAAGCTAAAAAATCGGCCAATGTTGTTTCATCAAGAATTAATTTGACAAAAACATTGGCTATTAAACATCAATTAAAACTATCGTATAGGTTTGTAGACAATAATGGTTTTAATCGAAAAATAAG